CTTTTGCTGTTGTGACCTACTGATCCAGTTTATCTTTCTACCTCTCCCTCTTTTTTAAACTTATTCACCGTTTTCTTAATGGTTCTTGAATGGTCTTTGAAGATGGAAGCCAGAGTATGAATGTTTGTACCATTACTAAAGGCCTGAATGATCTTTTTTCCTCTCACCATTGTTCAGTTAGGAAGAGAGTGAGGCTGACTTAAAATTATTTTAAATTGTTCTCTTTCTAGCTGAATAACTCAAAGAGTTTTTCAGTGATACTTACGACAAATGCTGTCAAGATGTCTTATCTAAAAACCTAGAAAATAGAAACTCAATTAGTTTAGTGTTTTTTTGGGTTTTTTTTTTTAATATTAAACATTTTGTGGGCTGGACAATTATCCCATACCGTTACACGCTTTGGACAATTTTGCTGCTACACCCGGTATATAAAGTCTTGGGTATGACGATAAACTACAACCAGCAGCAAGACCTCTGATCAGGAGACTGGAGGTTTTGAGGAACTTGGAACCACCTCTTAATTGCTGTTCTTTCCAGGTTCACTCTGACTCGAGGTGGGTCCCACCTATGGGTAAATAGTGAACCCCCAAACAAAAACAAAACACTATGAAATTATAAAAATTCATTTTTATGGAAAAATACCAGCAATAAAGTTTTATATAAATAAATTGCCAATACCTATTTATCGTAAAATTACCAAACATACCTGATTATAATAGAATTATCATCAATACATTTTATAGAAAAATGAGCAGCAATACATTTTATCTGTAGTTGAAGGCATACAATTGCGTTTAAAATGTATTTAGTTGAAGCCATAAAATTGTGTTCAAAATATTTAGATTTCGGTATTAAATAACCCATAGAGGTGTTGATATGCCGCTAAACAAAATCAACCACACAATCAAGATGAAAGAGGTCTTTCATGATATTAATCCATATAATATCCTACAATTTCTTAAAGAAATCAAACTCTATTCCAAAATATAACTTCAACAAAACTACAACATAAAACACACATATCACCGCCTCAAGTAATTATGTCCACACAAACATGTATATGCAGAAAATTTAATGCTCACAGGACAGATTGAAGGCAAGAGGGACAGAGGAAAACAACGCATAACTTACTTAGTAAGCTTGAGTAAACGGATGATGGAACTCTTTAGGGGAGATAACAAAAAAAAAATTTATTATGCGCTATCAAGGACAGGAAATTGTGGAGAGCCATGATCGCCTACGTCCTAAAAGGACATGTCAGTTTGTTACTGGCTGCCATCCAAGGCCAAAATAGCCTGTTATTTAACCAAAAGATGGAAGAAAAAGAAGATGAATACAGAAATTCTTCGATTATACGGACAACTTGGAAGAGGGTTTGAAATAATGTAGTGTGGCATCCGTCGGTTTCAAGAGAACATGGATCTGCTCCCAGGGCAGGGGTTTTTATGAGAGATCGGCGGCTACCCATGCAGTATATCACCCTTTTCCATGCCATCGTTGTTGCCCAAGGGGAAGTCAGAGGCCAATACAGTTTGGTACCGGCGTTTGTCGCTGGAGTTGCCAGAACGAAGTTGAACATAACATCCGGCTCTGCATTTGTCGTCAGAGTTTACTCCCGAAACCTTTCTTGCGACAGAATATGGCCGCAAGACAGCGGAGGTTTAAAATCAGTTTTCCTTTAACCTCGAACATACATACATATATAATATGGATGAATATATATATATATATAGTCATCCACAGACAGACTGTTTCGCTGTATCATAGCTCCTCGGTGTGGCTAGACGTCCGATTACTTCAAGCTGGGATCGAAACCCGATTTGACATCAGTCAGATAACTTACCTCTAGGCCATCCTCGCAGGAACGAAATGTTAACGTTTTTCTCTATACGCACATAGAAACATTAAAAGATGTATATGCCATAATATAGTGGGGAATTTAGCGAAGGGTTGAATAAGATAGATTGAACTTTTTTTGTTTTTTTTTTTTTTTTTTGTTTTTTTTGTTTTTTTTTTGTTTTTGTTTTTGTACATTGCGACTGAATGTTGTATTTTTTAAATAAAAATATAAACTGGACAAAACTTTGAACAAAGCGTTTGAAAATGTTATTTAATGATATAAATATTAAATTGCTTTTAGAAAATGACTTTTTCTTCATAACTTTTTGGATAAGTTAGGCATTCAATTATCCAGAGATTTCAATTATCCGGAATTTTCAATTATCCGATGTTTTAATTATCCGGAGTTTTCATTTATCCGGAGTTTTCAATTGTTCAGAAATTTCAATTATCCGGAGTTTTCATTTATCCGGAGTTTTCAATTATCCGGAGTTTTCATTTATCCAAACATACTTTCCCAAGGATTCCGTATAATCGAGGAAGTACATTAGAAATAAAAAGATGTCAGTGTTTCTCAGACTTTTTTTTTTTTTTTTACTAACGTTAATGTTTACTTCAGGGCGCGCTTATAGATTAACTAAAATACTGAGGTAAACTTTAAATTTTAATAAATCATGAAATTTAAACACAATAAAGAAGTCTCCTGAAATAAGCATTTATTTTAAGATATTCAGTCAGTTATGTGCCAGACGTGATACACGCTTAGCCGTTCATGTATCTTTCGATACATGACTGACGAGGCAGTAGGTGGCCATTTCTTTCAGCGGTAGACCAGTTGCCATCTAAGGCTGTTCTGCTATTTATCCCTAGCTGGGGGGAAAAGAAGAGGATTCATACCTTTCCCAAGGGTATTAGCATACAAGTGAAATTCGAACTCGGCTATCCGATTCCGTAATCCGAGTCGCTATCCATTACTCCACATCGCCTCCTTTAAGACATTACATTGAATATTTAAGGATGCTTGTGTGAAACCTCAAATTGATGTGCTTTGGCAAAGACGAAAACTGCCTTTAATGTTTGTCATTTTTGGTTTAGCATCCCCAAAGAAGTTTAACGGTACAGTTTTCATTTAAAGAGATTTAGCATTAATGTGTTTTAGAGAGGTCGATAATGACTGATTTAAATCCCTCGAGGAAGGCGAAAGGGAAAGGATCATCCACTCCTTAAAAATTAAGGAATCTAGCATCTAGTTTTTAACATACCAAATGACAAAGACTTGACTTAAACATGAAAGCCAGGTGCTTGGTGCCTATAGCTTGTTAAAAATTAAGCTTTTTTTAATATAACATAATTCGTAAATTACTTTCTGTAAACTTAGGGTGCACCGTGTGAGACACGTTGCCATAGAGAAAAGTATTAGTTAACAAAATAGTCTGGTTAACTATTAGTAGTGAATTTCATCCTCACTGGGTGTCCCGCACTTGTATCCTTGTACCAAACTAGGCAGTGTTAAAAACGATTATGACACAAAACAAGCACCTTATTCATTTGCCTTTTATCAAATCTTCTGATTTTCTTCGGCATTATTTTCGGCAACAACAAAGACTAGAACGCCATCTCTCCGTCAAACCAAGCAAAACTTGCTCATAATTAGTCCAATCGATTTGACCAACGGAGAGTAACGCGCCATCTTGGTCCAACCCTTACCTTACACTGACCACTCCTACCCATGGATTCATCCATCGCGCAGAGAAAACCCTAGCCGTTGCGTTAATATCGAACTGGATTCAGCTTTACAGTCTGAAACGGGCGCAGTGCTACGGTTACCCACGCTATCTACCCTCGCCCCAGTCTCTGTTAGATTCGTTTCGACTCCGTTCTTTTTTTTTCTTTTTTTCTCTTATTCGTTAGTTCGTTTCTTTTTCTTTTCTCTTTCTCGACTCTCCGCAGTTACTTCTTTCACACGAGAACAGAGTAGCGAACAGCACAAATAAAACTACAAGCTACCAGCCGACTCATTCATTATGAACTTCACTTGCAGTTGGAGAAATTCAGTTTTTAGTTTCTGCATTGCAAAGCGAGTATAAGTAAACATCTTCGTCGCAAGAAAAAAAAAAAGTTTTCTTTGTTTTTCTCTTCAACTTTTTTCACTGACATTTATAATTAGTTAGCTTTCCTTTCTTTCTTTATTTCTTTTCTTTTCTTTTTTCTTTGCCCTACGGTGTTATTCTCTTTTCTGTTCCCATCCAAAAACAAATCCGACAGTTTAACGCTATAACTCACAACTACATCCAGCATAATCTAATTTTACTTAACCGTGTGCATTGCATCGAAAACTTTCGCCGAGTTCCTTCCAGTAACAACATATCTCGTTGAGGACCGTGAAGAAAACACAAATGTCAGCTTAGAACGGATCTAACATGAAACGTCTTTCTTTTAAACAATCGCCTAGTTTGGCACAAGGATACGAGTACTTGGTATTCCTAAATGGCTACCTATTAAAAAAAAATATCAAAAGGTGATTGAGTTCAACACTGTTTAACTTCGATCAGAAAAAAAAACCCAAGTGGCCACCCATGACCAGGCTTGACACTAACATCGTTCAGAGAACGTGTGGGGCTCATGCATCTAAACACCGACCCCCGTTCGATGGTACTTAACTTCAACTCGAGTAAAACCTGAAACAATCGCTCATATGAATACGAACTGATTCCAACCTTACTGAAATTCTATCAAAATATAAGTGAACACTGACCATATTCGACGCTTCTTATCTCTGATCAGTTAACCTGCGTGCTCGTTTCATCTAAACACTGACCAGGTTAGACGCTACTTACACCAGTGAACAACCCAAATGGTCACCCATCTTATCACTGGCTAGGATTCATACTGCTTAACTTCGGTGATCAGAGGAGAACCAGTGCTTTCAGAATGACTTGACCTTCAACCGTTGATGTCAACGCATCTCATCTCAAGAGAAAAAACAAGAACTTCGCTTGAAACAACACTTGCGAATTCCAAGAGTTAGCTTTCCATCATTCATATCTCAAAGGCCATTGGGATCTGTCGAATAGGTTCGGTACAGTACAGCTCAAAAAACAAATGCATTTCATCCAAGGAGAGTTACAATCAAGAGTGAGTCTTTTCTGTAAGTCATCACTATGGACATTCTCACTATGAATGATCACGGCTTAAGTTTACACAAGTCGTATACAAGGTAAGCTCAAAATTGAACTTCATTTAATTTTGAATCGAATTCAAGCACTGTCAAGCTTTAAATGGGTTAACTTTTGACGCAGCCAGATTTTTCTGAATTTTAAATTTTTGATAAATCATATAAACATCGCGTCATTATATCACGCTTTAAAAATATTTAGTATTTAATATTATAATCTCTGTGTCAAATTTGGATCTTTCTAACTTTAGCACAAGTTATTTGTTTCTTTAACCAGAGTTTGTCTCAGTATTACATTTGTTCAGGATCGGTGCGTACTACCCCCGAACATCCCGAGCCTGATTGGGGGCCCCAGGCAATGCTTTTGTGACTCTTGCTATCTTAACAACATTTGCTTTTTTTCTACCTACATTTATATACACTGAAGATTAAACTAAACACAACTGACTATTAAAAGGATGAAAAATTTTCGTTTATTGTATTATTGAAATAATTGCTTGGAGAGAATTGATAAAAAAAAAGATTGCTACAGATGGTTGATCATTGTGTTTGGTTCTTAAAAATTAGAGTTTGTCATTTATAGTCAAAAAGAATGTTGCAAATGGCGGAACACTGCGTCTGATTCTCAAACAAAAGTTCATTAGGAACCTTGTGGGTGAATAGGTTGTGTTTTTCTTATGCATGTCAGCAGTCTCCAAAATGTTCTGGGGGATTCACTCACATCATAGCAGCAGAAATTAGTCTTGTGTAAAAACATTCTTGACAGGAAATAAAATGCATACCAATAACAGGAAAAACATGATAAATTGAAGTTAAATTTCATACAATTTATATTTTTGTGTGTATTTTTAGGTTACAATAGTTTTATCTAAATTATTTACATTATTTAAACAGTTATCCTCATCTTTATTGCCATGTTCACGATGTTTTGGCCGTTGTACGCTTTGACCTTTGCCTATCATCCTGTTCACATTCCTCCCTGGCTTTTTGAACTTTTATCCCTTGTTTCCTGTTTAGGATTGGTTTTCTTTTAAAGTTTTTATTCTCTTTGACTTCCAGTAGCCCCTTGCATCTTCGTATTATCTTGGTATTATTGTCTTGCTTGGGGTGCACTAATAAAAAAAATGGTGGAGCATTGTGTTTGGTTCTCAAATGAGAGCTCATTAGAAAACCAAATTTCCACTTTGCAAATCTTCTGAATTAAATATTAAAACACACTCTAAACGACACGTCATTAGATAAATTCTACAAATAATTTCTTAATATTCAACATTGCTTCCTCATTGGTTGGTTGACTCATAGTTCATAATGGAGAAATATGTAATTGCTTTCTAAAACCCCTAATTTACGCAGTAAAACCTCCAAAACGAGTAAAAGGCAACTCCGTAAAGTGCTCAATACACGAAGTAGAGCAAACCTAATATAAACCTAAAGAGCCAGGCAAACCTACCTAGCTTTCACCTAAACGGATCGTCAGGAATATATATATATATATATATATATATATATATATATATATATATATATATATATATATATATATGCAAGTTTCAGTAAATATGACAGACAAGGTGCTTTGATTAAGTGTTTTTATATAATTCCTCATATGATCTTACAAGTTTTTTCTTTTCAGTAGATGAATTGTACAAAAACTGTCCAAATGTTATATTTTCCTGAGAGCTTTACGCTGTACATTTAGACATTTTGAAGGATGAAATATATTAACTGTTAATTGTAAATAGATTGTTGTATGTATGTATTTAGTATTATAGAATGTTTTATTTTCAAAACACAGTCAATATATTGTGTCCATATTCATAATTAATATTATTGTGTGTTGTTTTTTATTTATTTTTATTAGTAAGGCTTCCATTATTTTTAGCCTTTTCTTTCGGCTCTAATTTTGTAATTGTATTTATTTTCAATTTTTCTAGTTGAATTGTTCGCCTATATTGATCCATTATCGTATATAATTAGGTATCAAAAAAATTGTATTTTAAATGAATACTACCTTATAAAAATTGAGATGTAGTAGAGTTTGGGGACTCGTATCATAGATTCGTGGGGGGCTCCGTATCATAGACTGGAGGGGTCATGAGACCCTTGCATCTTGTACATCAAGGAGCCATTTCAACAAATACACTTGACCATGGCGAGTGTGGGGCCTCGTATCATAGGTACGGTAGGGATAATAGATTCTGGGGGCGTATTGGGGTGGCACCAGACTCTTACACAAACCCTGCATTCGTCTAACCTAATTTTCGTTCATTATTTGTTTGCTTTTCTTTCCTCCAAAAGCTTAAATTTTCTTCAATGATGCGTCAATACCGCACGCATCGGTTCAACTTTCTTCAACTTTTTGAATCTCGGCAAAACTTTAATTGGCTTCAAGTACCATTCAGTTCCGCAAAGTCCACTTTAATTTTGCTTGACATCCGTCCAGCCTAGCACAAATCGAAGTTAATTGCATTTCTTTTCAGTAAGACGTGTGATTAATTTTAAAACTGGAAAGCGTTTTTCCTGTTCCATAATTCGCAACAGATCAAATTTAGCTTCTTCGCAACGTCAGTACAAATATCAAGAAAAAAACAATTTTGGGTCGTAAGTAATTTTCGTTTTTTATTATTAATTTTAATTCTTTTTTTAAAAATAAAATACAATTAAATTTTATTCGATTATACATTCACCATTATTTGTAACGACCCGTTGCCACTTATCAGGCGATAAAAGTCAATATCTTTTTTTATAAATTCTTCCAGAAGAAATGACTGAAAACTGTATTTCTGTTTACGATAAATATTGCTCTAAAAATACATCAATCTTAATACGCAACCCGGACGGCGCCCTGGACACAAAGGCCAGGAGCTTGCGTACCGAATGTATAGTAGTAACTGCCCCACGCAGTCACATGTGGCACAATGCCGAATTTAAAGTGGGGTTTCCGAGCCAGGAGGCTCGGCCCAAAAATGCCCGTAGACCCCGCATAAACGGGATCGGGTCTGTCTACCTCCCCGGACGAAACTCTGCCCTTCGGCATATCCTCGTCCGGGTTCCTCTCTGCCCGAAGGCAGAGAGTTCGACTAGCGCAGTTGGGAAAGATACCAGCTCGACTCTGCGTACCGACCTCGAATTCGGCAAAAAGTCGATGTGTTATGTTAAGGGAGACCAACAACAGACATGGTCTCCCAAAAATGCTAAAAATCTCTCTCTAAAAAAAAAAAGTTGAGATTTACTAAGAAAAAACAAAGGTCTAAAAATGCTGAGAGGTGTATTACGACTAGTTTCGTAACAGAAACGGAAGTAAAAGTAATCAACGTAATTCTAAAACGAAATGAGACTAAATTACACAGCTTGTAGGGAAGACGATCAAAAGGTCAAGATCGAAGTCCCCTGTTCTCTTCCGTTTTAGTGAGCGGCCAAAGGCGGCCGCGACAAGTTTAAGTGGCCATTACTCCAAATAAAATAGCAGCGAGTTTAATTTTTCTAAATAAAAACAAATTTCGTCCTAAGCTGAACCTTACAAAGTTCAGTTTCATTTCATTTCAATAGAGTATTTATCTTGCATTTTAACATATCTGATTAAAGAGGAAACAGGTGGATCGTTCAGTCACTTATGTATCATACGTGATACACGCTTAGGCGATTATGTATCTTTCGATACATGACTGACGAGGCAGATTTTTTTTCCGGCAGTATCTTGCCATTTCATTCTGCGGTAAACCAATTGCCATCCAAGGCTATAGAACTCGGTCTGTCCTATTATTTACCCATAGCTGTGGGGAGAAAAAAAGGATTCATACCTTTCCCAAGGGTATTAGCACGTAAATGAATGTAATGGATTTGAATGAAATTCGAACTCGGCTCTCCGATTCCTCAATCCGAGCCGCTAAGAATTTTGCTCAATACAACACAAATTTGAATCTATTTTCTCAAAGCTCTCTGTATCAATTCTAATCAATATATCATAAAACACATTTTATATTTTTTTGTTCAAATGTCAACTTTTGAACCAATAGGTGTTTTCTCTTAGGAAATCATTAGCTAAGCTCTATCAAAATTTATTTGCACGGTTTTTTGCTTTCTGACCCTGCAACCTTTTTCTTTGTTACAAACTTAACGGTCACATTTTAGTATTCCTATGAGACTTAACCCACGGCATCATTACATATTATCCCTGAGATATACCCCGCCTATTTGCGTATACCGTGGATTGGTGATGTGAGTACCAGGCTTGCCCGACAGATTTCTGTAGCTGTGAACAACTGTTATCTGTCTGCCAACCCACATATCATCTGGCCGACTAATTTTGAGATCGATCCGAAACGATGTTCTACCTCACCATCGCTTTGTTCATTTTTCATATCAAATGTCAATGTGACGCTGACTACGTAGACAGAGCGGGCCACCATTTAAAAGCGAGGATTAATCAGCACAGACCAGCCAATATTTGTAAGGGCAATTTGGGCAATTCGCATAGGTAGATTAGCACAGCTATCAATTTACCGGTCCTGTATCCGAGACCTGTTCTCAGTGCTGAGGACGGCTCACTCGGAACTTCATTTGTTTTGGAATCTATTTATATTAAGTCCTGCCAGATATCCCTCTGTAATCAGAAGGAATGGTTTTCAGCTTTTAATTGTGATATATTTATTATATAACATCTGGTCTTTGGTGTTTATCTTAGTCACCGTGCACGTTGAGCTCGGATGAAAGAGGTAGTATAAACTGACTAATCTGTTCTTTTTCTTAATTGTGTTTTGTATTTCGATATTACCACATTACGGTAATGTATATTTATTAGTCAACCCTTTTTTGTTATTTGTTCCTCTTGTTATTTTAACAATAGTAGTACATAGGGTGGCTTATTATCCGGTTCACACGCCTCCCAGGCTTTTTGAACACGAGTAGAAGTGTAAATAACAACGATTTTTACAGATAAAAGTCCTACTATTTAACCCATAGCTGGGGAGAGGAGATAGATTCATACCCTTGTTTCTTGTTTAGGACTGAATTTCTGGTTCCTTCTAAATTCTGCTTCTAACGTCTCCGTCTGAACTCTGGTTTTTTTACTATTTATTTATTTATTTTCTTTCCACAATAAGAGTAGATATGTTCACCTAACGTCCGGTTCACACTCCTCCCTGGCTTTTTGAAAAGGAGTAGCCTTTTATCCCTTGTTTCTTGTTTAGGATTGGGTTTCCGGTTCTTTCTAAAAAATCTCTAAATCTTCTAAAAAATCTTCTAAATGGGGAGGGTTTTTAATTATCAAATTGAAAATATAAATTTCTTCGAAAACCAGAAGAAATGGCTGAAAAATGAATTTTTATTTACGATAAATATTGCTCTAAAAATACAAAAATCTTAAACTCTTTCTTAATGGGGAGGGTTTTTAATCATTAAATTGAAAATGTAAATTCTTCGAAAACCAAAAAGGCTTAATTAGTGAACGACAAAGTTTGAAACATTTGAAATTTTAACTTTCTCTTCATAATTTGTATTTACCACGTTCTTCATTCTCTATTTTTAAATTAATGTTCAATCATTTGTCCCATATTTTTTCCTTTGTTCCTATCATCATTTTATTTCTTTTATAAACAATCAATTTTCTTTTTCTTACAGGCAAATAAAACAACTCAACTTTTACTTTCTCTTAATTGCTTCAAATCTTTTCTGCCGTCCCAAACAAACATCTGTCTACTATTTTGTAAGCATTTAAAACAAAAACTGATACAAATAAATTAAAAACGAAAGAAAATGGAGACTATCAACGGCAACTCAACAACACTTGCCGCGTATAACTACAACGAGGCTCTAACTAAAATTCCCACTTTTCTGTGTCTCGCCCTTCTCACGCCATTTGGCATCGTGGGCAACGCAGGTGTAATTTACGTTTATGGTTTTCGTCTGAAAAAAACGAACCTTCAACATTTTATCACTTTGTTGGCCGTGTTTGATATAGTCTGCTGTCTGGTTGCATTTCCTTTGAAAATGGTAGAACTTTGGTTACCCGTCATGTATCCATCGGGCCTGCTATGCAAAGTTCAGAACTCTATCATTTGTTTTACGTGTGTAGCATCAGCCCTCACCCTGCTGATTATCTCCGTCGACCGTTACAAAAAAGTGTGCCGTCCAACACAATCCCAGATGACTCTGATGCACGCTAAAATCCTTTTCTTGGTGATAACGATCGTGTCGTTGGCATTTGCCGTCACGGCGGCTTTGGTCTACGACCGGCGAAATCTGTCGCTCACCGACGGTGGAGATTTGGTGGGACATATCTGCGTGATGGACTTCAATTCAGTAATAACCCAGGGCTATTTTCTGGCTCTCTTTGTGGTCTTGGTCACTGTGCTCGGGACTATGCTGGTCTTGTACTGTCTTGTGTGGAGGGCGGCCAAGAAGCACTTTAAACAATCGGATCTTCGATACCGACACAACGACAACCAGGAAGAGGGAGATGACCACCAGTCTCCACACAAGAAGAACCTCCACCGGACGAACAGGACGGTCGTTCTCATTTCCCTCCTCTTCGCAGTTAGTTTCGTCCCCTCTCTCATGGTTTCAGTACTTTTCGCGCAGTTCACCCACGTGAAATTCTCGATGGCCACCCGCACGGTGCGAGAACTCATCTACGGCACGTGGGCACTCAACAGTAGCATGAACCCTTTGGTGTATGGATTTTGCAACGAGAACTTTCGTATGGAATTCCAGAGTCTACGCATTCCCTTCGGCTGTTACGGAAGATACACAACACCGAAAAAAGACAACATTCAACCGATTGCTCAAGTATAAGAACGCTCATCTCTAACCTTGGATAAGTTTTTTTTTTTTATCTCTCTGGCTTTTCGTTGCTTTTTATCACAGCGCGAAAGATGAACTTTTCAGTAAGCAGCGTATAAAGATGAAAGAGAGAAAAAAGAAAAAAACCTTCACATATTAATGATGAAAAATATTTCATTTAGAAATTCAAACAATTTCAAAAATTTACACTTTACTTTAATCGTGTTTTTTATTTTCATGAAATTTTCAGGCTGAAGTACTTATTAATTCTGTCCCATAATAGTTGTTGCATTTGAATACACGTTACATACAATAAATGTAACAACACTTTTGGGACAAAAATAGTGAAGTAAGCGCCACCCCGGTTCCATAATAATTGCTACATTTGAATACACGTTACATACCCCGAATGTAACAACACTTCTGGGACGAAAGTAGTAAAATAAACGCCACCCCTGTTCCATAATAATTGTTACATTTGAATACGCGTTACATACACCGAATTTAACAACACTCCTAGGACAAAAGCAGTAAAAAAAACACCACCCTGTTCCATAATAATTGTTACATTTACATGCACGTTACATATACCAAATGTAACAACTATTATGGGACACAGTAAAAATGCTACTTCTATCCCATAATAGTTGTTTCATTTACATAAATATTTATACATGAAATGTAACAACTATTATGGGACAGAAGTAATAAAATAACGCTATGACTGTCCCATAATAATTGTCACATTTGCATACATATTATATACACACAATGTAACAAACATTATGGGACAAAGGTAGCAAATAAGACAGTGCTTCAATCGACAATTCCTTCGACAGATTTCCAGTTGACAAAATATGCATCTGGAATTTATATATATATATATATATATATATATATATATATATATATATATAATGTAAGGAAAAATATTCGTGAATATGAAAGGATTAAGAAAATAAGCAAAGATACATGCCTGAAAGAGAATTTGAAAGAGAATTTGAGGCCTAAATACACAAATATATTAATCCAAATAAAAGAAAGAACAAATGGGGTAAAAGTCCACAGTTCGTAGCATTTACTTTTTATAAAAGTGCTCAATATAAAGTAGAGCAAAATATTATAATATTTTTATTATAAGAGATTATAATAAAAACATTTTACATCACTACACAAAAAACTTTTCAATACTATGATTGTACTTCCTCATGCGATGGTTGAATTTTAGGGAAATTTAAAGACAAAACGTTACCTCGTTATGCCCCCCTCCACCCTTTAACTTTCGGTAAAGGGGTAATTATTGTCCATTTGTTTACGAGTTAAAAATAATTTAAGATGTAAAAAATTATACCATTTCTACTAAGTTTAAAATAACATAATATCTTCCTGTTCCATAGTCAGAAGAATTCATTATATAAATTTTCAAATTTCTCCAGCAGTCGGTAGTCGACTGTACTAGGAGCACAAATTCATTTACGGACGCACATACAATATATATATATATATATATATATATATATATATATATATATATATATATATATATATAAAACAGTATATTTACATCTATCAGCCTGAATATTCTAGAAATCTTGTTAGAAAAATATGTGCTCTCCGAGAGGATTTGTCTCGAATATCAGGCCGGTAGATGTAAAAAAAAAATAAATATACTGTTTAATAATAAAAAACGGAGCATCTACTGAAATATGAGTATCTATTAAAAATAACGTTTAAACAAATAGATTAAAACTATACTAGATTTAATCCATTTTTAAATAAATATATATATATATATATATATATATATATATATATATATATATATATATAAGAAATTTAATGAAGAAAGTGGAATTTCTCTATATATATATATATATATATATATATATATATATATATATTAAATAAAAACAGACCACTTTAAGGTTCCATGTAAAAATTATTTCACCACAGCCCTTTTAAAAGGACTGCGGATCATCAGACTTTACTTCCAAACAAAAATGAAAAAGAAAATTTACACATTTTTGACGGGCCGTATTAAACATATGTAAATTAACGAAGTGAGGAAGTGAGGGGGGGGAGAGAGGACATGAGTGAGTTAGCAGATACTGACACATTTAAACGGTTAACTTAACGGAAGTTATATATTGATATCGAAGGGGTAGCGAAGAAAAAACCCATAGAAAGAAAAAGAGAGAAGGAAGTTAAGAGAGAAAAGAAGATGTCACTAAATTTCATTGTAAAAAAAAACTAGAAACAGATGCTGTTATTTTGCTTTACATTGAAAGTGTTATTTTGGGGGTTCATAAAGATTAATGTCTGATATAAATTTGAATGTCTTTAGACTGTCTACAAATAATTTAATTTGATGTTTGTTAGTGATTTTAAAAAAATTTAAAATTTTGGGGATTTTCTATGAAATAGTCGATTAGAAAAATATTCATAGAAAGTACAAAATTTTATTTTAAAATATAAGTTTACATCTAGTAATCTTTTTTAAAAACTTATAAAAAAAAATTAATTGATTATTAAGTTGACATCTCTATCCGTTTGAATTTTGTTCATGAATTTAACTCGTGATTGTTTCTAGATAGGTAATCTCTTTTACTTAAATTTTAGTTAAGTTAGTAATGGGTAATATTTGAAGGTAATATTAAAGATCTTGCTCTGTCATATACTGTATACACACCCATGCAAATATCACATATACACACGTTCCTTTACATATTCAATCACTCATACAGGTACCCATGTACCAAAATACACAGGTAACTTCATGTATTAACATCTACTTAAATATCAAAAATTTTTCCAATTTAAATATTTTATCATCAATAATGATTATTAAAGGGTAATATATTTCAATTTAAATTAAATTATCAATTTAAAAATTTTTCTCCATATTATAAAGAATTTTAAACTCACACTTCCAATTGGAGAATATTAAATGAGAAAATGAGTTTTAATAACAGGACTATAAGTGCTTCTTTCATAATATTCTATGTATCCATAAATATACATCTACACACATATCCGTACACATACACACATACATATACATATCCATATATATACATATATTCACATATACACAAATATATACATATATATATATATATATATGTATGTATATACTCATACATACACACATTCACATATAGATATACACACATACATACATACACATTCACATATACATATATTCACATATACACACATATATATATGTGCACGTATATACTCACACATATATACACACACACCTACATATACATATATTCACATATAGACACACACATATATATATATACGTGTATGTATATACCATACATACACACACTCACATATAGATATACACACACACACATACATACATACACATTTACATATACCCACACATATATCCACATACACATACAATTACATATATATATCCACATATATATATACACATATACACATACATATACACACACATATACATATACACATATACACACATATACACATACACACAAATACACATACACACAAATATACATATAAATATATGCACCCATATGTGCGTGCATGCAAAAAACATATGAAAATCCATACTTAATTACTTGAATATATCTATATTCTGCCATATTATATATATGAACACACAACTACTTAGACTTATACTCATATACATACACTATCTATGTAACGACATACATGTACCTATCTATATATACACACCCATACCCACACATACATATATAGAAATTATAAATAATTGTATACATACACATCCACACATATACATGTACCCACATACCCACACATACACATATATACACCCATATATACATATAACTACATATAAAAAAAAATCATCTATATACATACAAGTATATATACATAAATATGCATAACCATACCCACCCATTCCAAAAATGTGCCCACAATACACAAAAATAACACATGCATGACTATCTTTCCATATAAACGCATATACATATACATATCAAAAGACGTATCAATGTTCAAGTTCAATAACATAGTTATAGATATATATATACAGTTATGTGTTCGCACTTATGTGTGCAAAGCAACATTTCCAAAAACAAAAAACCAAGATCATGTAATATTCGTCTTCCTATATAGTTATTCCTAAATATATTTAGTTAGATTTGGGTTGTTCTTATGGTCCTCACTTCCTCACTTCGTTAATTTACATATGTTTAATACGGCCAGTCAAAAATGCGTAAATTTTCTTTTCATTTTTTGTTTGGAAGTAAAGTCTGATGATCCGCAGTCCATTTAAAAGGGCTGTGGTGAAATAATTTATTACATCTAACCTTAAAGTGGTCTGTTTTTATTTAAATTATTTGCTCTGGATTTACATTGAGCTCTTTGGTTTTTTTATCCTCCTTAGGTTTACCCATACGGATTACCTAGATTTTTAATATATATATATATATATATATATATATATATATATATATATATATATATATATATAAGTGAACATTGTAATCAACACTCGGAGGCGACAGGCTGGTTCATGCTAGACGCAATCGTCAAGCCGATATTTAACAGTCCCCCTACGAGGAATGTATGTGGCACAAGGCCGGGTTTAACCTGGGTTTCTCCGAGCCCGTAGGTTCAGCCAAAATTAATCCCTTAGAACCCGCATGAGTGGTTTCGGGATCTGTCTACCTCCCCGGCAAAGCTTCGTCCGGGTTCCTCTCTGCCAAAGCAGAGAGTTCGACAGAAGTCGCACACAGTCAGAGACTGCGTGTCGACTGACTCAACGCAATCGTCAGGCCTCGAGTGTTGGATTTTTCCTCGACTATTTATATATGTGGGTCAGTGGTGCGTTGGAGGTAATCCATTCTGGCGGTTATTTGGGCGGGAGTGTCTTGTTTATTTATTTCTTTGGGTTAATTTATTTTACTTGTTTTTTTTTCATTTTTTTATTTTATATATTCATTTATTCTTTTTGGTTTTCCATGTTTTATTAACGTGGTAAAAAATTTGGGGGCGATTTTTGGAAAAAAAAATTTACCACGTTAATAAAACACAGAAAACCGAAAAGAATAAATAAAAAAAACAAGTAAAATAAATTAACCCAAATAAATAAATAAACAAGACAAGCCACTCCAGCCAAAATAACTGCCAGAATTGATTACCCACAAGGTCCTTAATTTCCGTAAGAACAATTATTTTTATGTCATGGGTGACTTTCGCTGGATTTTGAAATTAATTTTTTTATTCCCAAATTTATTTCCAATTTATAAAAATTGTTATCGTACAAAAATTCGTCGCAAATCACATAAAATCATCGAAAACAATCGCAGCAATGAAAATTTGGGAATTGTGGGTCCGGATTTGGCCCAAAATGTTTTAATTTGCACCCGGCGTTAGCCTGATTCTAAAATGGTATGATATGTTGAGCTACGGCCTCTAGGAATAAAGTTGAATAAGTGTGACACACTGACATTCGTATTTATTTATATATATATATATATATATATATATATAGAGAGAGAGAGAGAGATTCATGTGCTTGTATGAGTGTGTATCTGTGTGTGTGTGTGACTTTCATCCCCTTTGACAAACTTTATGTGGTGACAATCCGATTCCGTTGGTCATACTCTTTTTGCAGTTTTAGCTATGGAATGTAGCCACCCTCATTGGGTATCCCATATCTGGGACTTTATGACAAAACTAGGCTCATTTTCGTATATATATATATATATAGTCCACCAAAAATTGTATACACACTTCAGGAAAGGAAAAACTTGTGTAAATATTGTAATACTAAATTTATTCAAACATCACGAGATTAATACAAGTTACTTTTGGACTCTACAATCACAAGAGCTGCTCAAAATGGTGGCCTTTAGTTTCCAGACATTTATTAGTACGGTGAACTACTGCTTGGGCAATGTTTGCCAAAGATGTCCAGTGTAACTGCTGTACATGCACTTACAATTTCTTGTCTAAGGGCTGCCAATGTAATGCCATCTGTCGAGAAAATATACAGTAAACAATGTTATTGCCATTTGATAAAACTACGAAAGACAAGTTTTCGAGCCATTCTTAAAATGAGATGAGGATTTACCTTTAATTCGATACAGAAAAGCTGAAAAATATTTTAATAACTTTTGATATGAACAAAGAATTATAAAAAAAAGATAGAGAATAAATATTAACGGCTTTTTTAAATGCCACTCATTTCTATATGCATGTAGGTATTGGGTGTGTAACATATTTGAGACAATATAATAAGAAGAAGGAAATTACTGGAAAGTAATTGAAACTCACCTGAAGCGAGCTGAATGGGTAATGCTCCTCATACCAATGACACTTCCACCGAACTTCTCTCTGGCATATAACTTCACTGAATTTTGATGTGTTCCTCTCGAATTTATATTTAAACCGGGGTCATCAGGAGAGAATGTGCACCGTTTCGGTGCCTTCTTCTCAACGTTTTCAGTTGCACACCGGTCCCCCTCACTGATGTGAGGCCCCATTATAACGATATACAAGTGTGTTGTAGATAAACTAGTTCAAATGCGCGGTAATTTTCGTTTGCCTTTCAGACGCATCAAGTGCATTAATATGGTAACTTCTAAACAAACGGAGAAAAGATGCACTATATTCGTAATACAGGCTGTCAACCACCACCCCCAGCAACTCGGGCGCTGCCATCTTCCAAGAGAAAACGGTTGGGAAATCTGTATGGAGAGAACGAAGGTACCCACGGTGATGTCCACTAAGTACACGACATTGTCCTGGGCTTGTTAGAAACGAAAGTTATGTCATGTCCTCAGGGTCAATGGTACCAGCAAGATCCAAGCTTTGGATCGGAGAGGTGGCTGTACTTCAACCAACAAGGACACTGACTCTGGCGTAACCAATGAGCGGCTGACCCCGAATTTTCACGATGAAGTCCCTTCTTCAACATGCTGCTTCCTAATTCTTCTGTCTGTATATTGCTACGTCTGGGGTTAGACGAGACCTGAGAACAACTAGTGGCTCCACAATGCCGCCATCGTGGACGCCGGGGCCAGCATAAACAAGAATCCATGAATTGGACATGTTTTAATCTACTGATTTCTTTTCCTATTGAATAACTTTGTTTTCTTTATGTTGCGGTTTATTCTCAATTGTCAATTTACCACACACACACGCGCCTATCTATCTATCTATCTATCTATCTATCTATCTATCTATCTATCTATCTCTCTCTCTCTCTCTCTATATATATATATATATATATATATATATATATATGAGGAGTGTTGAAATTCTCTGCCAGACCAAGGTATTGTTTCCAGGTTCTTCCCAGTGGTGCTGGACACTGGGATCGCCTCCGCAGGTTGATAACATCAAGTATTCATCTCCCTGACAAATAACGCATGGTGAGATTCAACCATGGTTTTTTCATGCTCTGAATGCCACCATTCTAACCACTTGACCCTACACATACTACACATACTAAAAATATATATATATATATATATATATATATATATATATATATATATATAAGGGAAAATGATTAGGAACGTATATTAAACATCTCTCCCATTATCAACCACACCTTATTTAACAATGGTAATGGATTATTTTTTTTTTAAATAATGAGAACACTCACTCGAATTTCAGCGTGCGAAGGATCAGAATAAACAACACAAAAATAAAATACATCTTAAACAGTCAAGACATGAAGAGAAGCTAACAACACCTAAAACACCACCACACACATTAAGAATGGCTAAAGAAGTGTCTGAAAACGCTTGGGACAATGGTGATTATAGAAAATATTTGTGCTCCCTTACTCCCACCAAACGGAAAAACATAAAAAAAACGCTGGAAAAACTATATTAAAATTAACTAAATCTTCCTTGTCTGTCATATATATATATATATATATATATATATATATATATATATATATATATATATATATATATATATCATTGTGTATTCATGGAGCAATCTCTCTTTTATGCAAATTTTGTTAAAAACAACTGACAAGGTGCTGTGGTTAAGGTTTTATATAATTTTTCATGTTTTCTTATAATTTTTTCTTTTCTTTTCAAGATATAAGTTATATAAAAATTGTCCAAATGTTTTATATATCCAAGCGTTTTCGGCTATACTTTTAGCCACTATCAAGGATGAATTTTATTTTACTTTTAACTGAATATATGGATTGTTCTATCCATAGTTATAGGAATGTTTTATTTTCCAAACACGGTCAGCACATTATGGCCATGTTCATAGTTGATATATATATGACAATTTGTAAAGAATTTTTATGTAAAAGTTCTTTTTAAATTGTCATATATTTACCATAAGGTCGGTTTGCCTTCAAAATTTAAATCACACATACACACACACACACACACACACACACATATATATATATATATATATATATATATATATATATATATATAGAGAGAGAAGAGAGAGTGAGAGAGAGTAAATGTAATTGCCCTGTTTGCAACCCACAGTAGATTAAGGGCTAAATGAGATGTAAAGGACAATTTCTAATTAACAAATCAAAGAATAAGTAAAATTAATGTTTATCCACAAATAAGCCACCATTGTCGATGGAAATTTGTAATCTTTCATAAAAACTTCGAATAGCATATTTTCGCATTCCACATATTCTCGAACTTGCCTCTTCTGCAACGAAATTCTTTAAATCCTCAAGAATTTCTGGTTTTTTATTGTAAACAGTATTCTTAATATGAGCCCAATCAAAGCAACAACAGGTTTGATATCAGGGCTTCTTACCGTCCAGATCAATGGCACCTTCCTTCCAAATCATCAATTTCGTAATTTTCTATCCCTAAAGCTCTTTCACATCACGTGGCTATTGTGAAAGTGAACCGTCCGTTTAAATGATCTTTTTTTTTTTTTTTACAAAGTGCTTTTGTAGAGTTATGGAAAAAATGCTTATTGTTCAAGTGGGTTTAATCTGTTATGTTTCCAATAAAGGAGAATTGTTCGTATCCTCTTGTGGATGACGATCTTATACAGAAATTTACTTATGGGCTTGAGTGACATTTACCAATTGTTTTTATGGATGATTCGCTTCCCACATCTACTTACCAAAAACGAATATTTTCTTTATTGTTGAACTTGTTAATAAAAAAAAATCTATTTATCTCATTCTGCATCCCTACCGCTCTCTTTTTCCTCTTACTCTCTTTCTCTTTTTCTCTCTCTCTTTCTCTCTCTCTCTCTCTCTCTCTGTGCGCATGTGCAGACTTTTTTTTTTACAAACAAACTTCAGATTCAGTAAATGACAACATATCCATCTAACTTTATCTGTTTGTAAATTTAATTCAAATTAACTAGATAGTGTGGCTCAATTCGGAAAGCGTTGTAAAAAAAAAAAATTCCCGTATTTTCCGGCTTACAAGACGCACTTTTTTTCCTAAAAATTACCCTGAAAAATACGTGTGCCTCTTCCAAGACGACTGTAAGGCAACGCCCAGGCTGAAGTAAGCTTGAACGTTCACCTAATTGGCTTGACTGATAGGGAAGTGGATTTGTATGTTGAGTCATTACACTATAATGTTAGCTATCTATCTAATTCAGCCTTTTATATGATGTAACCTCAGTCTTACAAGTATTTCCAAGACTATAAACCTTCCTGGAGCTGAGCCACAGCTTTAAACATGCTCTGTTTACTAACAGCGGAGGGAGCCTTTTTGCTCTTGACTAGTGTGTTATTGCCATACAAACAAAATCGGATGAGTGATTAATGTAAACAGTACGAGGCGCTATTATGTGAATGTGTTGTTATATGAGAATTACTTTTCTTTTCTTAGAAATTTCTTTCCAATATCAGGGTGCGTCTTCCAAGCTGCAGCGTCTTGTAAGCCGGAAAATACGGTAAGTCTGAATGTTTGCCGGTTAAGACGCTGTAAAAAAAAAGAAACAAACAAACAAGATAAGGACTATTCCTATTAAAACGTCTTTGATGTTCTTTAAGCATAAATTTTTTTTTATAAAAATTTATGACAATGTGGAATAAAGTTTTGTGTGACGGGTTTCGTCCATTAGGACTTCATCAGACTGAAGTGATGTCTACGTTGCTGTGACTACATATGATCATGAAGGAGAGGGGACGCTGACATTTAAATTTTTTTTTTCTTACTTTATTCCGATGAAGTTCAAAAGGAGGAAACGCGTCCCACGAAAAAATCTTTTCCCAATTTGTCATAGATTTTCCTAAAATTGTTCTGGGATATAAAAGTGTAGATATCGTTTTGCCAATGATTTTATCTATTCTTTTTAATTATATATTTAAAAATATCAATGCAATCCAAACAATATAATTCCTTTGTCTTCATTCAGTCTTCCATTTCGTTTCTATTTTTGCAAAGAATGCGGGAAAAAAAAGATAAAAAAAAGAATAAAAACGAAAATAAATATAAAAAAAGAATTAAAAAAAACGAAAATAATCAGTTAAATAATTACATGAAAGGCTGGTTACATTCGTCCAATCAGCAGCTTCTACATGCAATGACGTCATAAGGTATGTTTTGTGGTGTGCCATGCCAAATTTTGAACCAGTACGAATACGGAAAACTTGTTTATTTTTTCTTTCAGATTTTTTCTTCTTTTACTTGAACTTCCTGCTATGAATACGTGCTTTGAATATTTACTATAATTAAAAAAAATCTTTCCGAAATTAAAATGAAGCGCTTATTCAAAAATTAGAAACGATTTTTCTTTTTCCGTAATGCAAATAAAAATGGTCAGAAATTATAATTGCATTATAAAAAGTAATTTTATGATATTTTAATGTAAATCCACGAAAAGAAGAGAAGCAAATAAGAAAGTAAAAAGGTAAGAAAGGAAAAAAGGAAAGAAAGAAAGAAAGGAAGAGGAATAAAAGAAAGAAAGAAAGAAAGAAAGGAAGAGAAATAAAAGAAAGAAAGAAAGAAAAAACAGCGTAAGAAAGAAATAAAAAGAATCAGAGAATACGAAAAAAGTTACTAAGAAAGAAAGAAAAAAGAAAGTAAAGAATATGGAAGAAAAGTAATAAGAAAGTAAGAAATAAATAAAGAGGAATAAAAGAAAGAAAGAAAGAAGAATGAAAAAAGAAAGAGGAATAAAAAAGAAAGAAATAGGAATAAAATGAAAAAAAAGAAATGAAAAAGAAACTAATAAGAAAGGTAAAGAAAAAAAAGAATAAAAGAAAGAAAGAAAGAAAAAACAGCGTAAGAAAGAAATAAAAGAAAAGAAAGAAAAAAATTAAGAAAGAAAGAAAAAAGAAAGTAAAGAATATGGAAGAAAAGTAATAAGAAATTAAGAAATAAATAAAGAGGAATGAAAAGAAGAATGAAAAAAGAAAGAGGAATAAAAAAGAAAGAAATAGGAATAAAAGAAAGAAAGAATTAAACAATCGGAGAATACGAAAAAGCTACTAATAAGAAAGAAAGAAAGAAAGAAAGAAAGAAAGAAAGAGGTATAAAAGAAAGAAGAATGAAAGAAGAAAGAGGAATAAAAAATAAAGAGATAAGAATGAAAGAAAGAATTAAATCAAGAATCAGAGAATACGAAAGAAAAGTCACAAATATGAAAAAGAAAGAGAAAGAACGAATCGCAGAATACGAAAGAAAAGTGACAAATAAGAAAGGAAGAAAGAAAGAAAGAAGAAGAAAAGAAAAAAGAATGAGAAAGAGTCAAAAGAAGTCGTTAATAATCCTTATAAACTCATATCAATTTTAAAGGAAGACAATGAAAATAATTTTTACTTTTGAAATTTCAAACAATTTAAAAGTCAACATTTTGAAAAATTTAGCACCGAAAAAACATGATAGAAAATTATATTAAATTAAGGCATTTAATCCGATAAAAAAATAAAGAGCCAATTTTTACATTTTATATTTTTTTCTAATTTTGTAAATAATGCATTTCGCTTTTTTGTCTTCATAAAACATAAAAACAATTTTTGAAATTGAATTTGTTATTTGTTTTGTTTCACATCAGAACTTGCTGGCAAGATCATGTGTCAGCAAGTTTCCTCAATACTCAAGCACCCTGCTCAGTATTTTCAGTTACAACAGTTATTAAGAGCTACAAAGGAGGGCCATGTTCGTCTACGCACTGAAGGGACGTGACACATAAAAGAAAGAAGAATGCATTTTGATCAGAATGAATATTAAATTGTGATTGCTACTGTTTTCCCCTTGCTTTTGAAAACGTTAAAAAATCATTTCACCCAAAGCAAGGCGATAATGCGGCTAAGATGCAAGTGGGATTATTACTTGAAGTGAAAGAAAATTGAGAAATCATTAGCGTTGAGAAAGGACAATAAAAGAACAAGATTCAGAAAGACAGAAGATAGAGATTGATGTTGCATTTAAATTTTTGAAGATCTCATTTGACAGGAAAACAAAAATCCGGAAGAAAGTTCCACGGACGAGAAGTGCGAAATCAAGGGTTCGGCTCGAAATTTCAATCATCTAAAGAAGGCCGGAGTGTATAACGGCCGAAACGTTGTGAATATGGCAATGAAGATGAGGATATCAGTCCAAATAATGTAAATAATGCAAATGAATACAATTTATATACAAGAAACTAAACAAAAAGAGGAAACCTCATTAGAACAAGTGCCACGAAAATATTTATAGGGAAAACACATGATCCGGTGGTAGGATATTGTCAGGACTGAAAACATTACTGACCCTTCATTGTGAGGAATATCATATATATATATATATATATATATATATATATATAGATAGATAGATAGATAGATAGATAGATCTTTTCTTTCTTTTTATGTACCATGTCCTTTCAGGAAGTAGACGATCATGGCTCTCTACCTCACTCTATCCCTTGCAGCTCTCAGCAAACTCCTCCCCTCTGTTCCCCCCACACACACACACCATGTTCTGTCATCCCCTTGCTTAAGTCCGCCAGATATGTCACACGTTGTTTTCCCTTGTCTCTCTTTCCCTCAATTCGACCCGTGAGTATCGGATTCTTTTCCTTCTTTATGTGTCCCAGAAACTTCAGCTGCCTCTTCCTGATGTTAAATATAAGCCGCCTTCTTGTTTGCAACCTCTGTAAGACCTCATCATTGCTCACACACTCGGTCCATGATATCCTTAGCATCCTTCTGTAGATCCACATCTCTGTCGCCTCGTGTCTCTTCATCTTTGAGGAAATCGTCCAACATTCGTTGCCGTAAAGAAGGACAGATATCACGTAACAGTTCAGTATCCTTTTCTTTGTTACCAAAGATATCCTCCTGTCCTGCAGTATACTGCCCAGCTTTTGGAATGTGTCCTTGGCCCTCTTAATACGCTTACGGAACTAAGTGTGATAAATAATGTTAATGGTCAAATATATCCAAGAGGATAAAATCCAGGATGGACCAAGAATATATATAATAATTATATTTTCCGATTTCTTTTTGAATTTGTAGGTCTGATGAATTGGATCGTGATTACGATTCCAATGTAATAAATTATAACCATGGAATATTAGTGTTTGAGCCTTTTTTTTACATATATATATATATATATATATATATATATATATATATATATATATATATATATATCATTTCACATCAAGCATGGTGCCACTAAGACACAAGGGGTTACTTACAGTGAAAGAGACTTTTAGTGAAAAAAGGAAGGACAATGAAAGAACCGTGTTCAGGAAAATAGAAGATGGCGATTGATGTTGCATTTAGAACTTTGAAGATTGTAAGCAGCAGGGATACAAAAATTCAGAAGGGAGCTCCACAGCTGAGAAATGTAAGATAAAAATTATTAGAATAGAACATATGGTTGCATCTAGCTTTTTCTACAATAAAATGATGAGACCTAATAGCCAATCTAGTTGTATGCTTCAATTCATGTGGTTGAAGTATTAAGGAGGAAAACTCATTAGAACAATTGCCATGAAAATATTTATAGAAAAGACAGAGGGAAACCACATCAAAGCAGTGGGAAAGTGACTGATGTTGATATACAAGGTTAGGACTGAAAATATTACAGTCCCTTCTTTAGATTTTTTTCAAGCAACTCGAGACATGTAGTGGGAGCACCAGACCATATTTGGCAGCAACAACGAATGAATGAACGAATGGTAAATTTTTAAACCTGCAAGATGGATACTTGTAAGGGAAAAAAAGGAAAGTCATGGCGGGAAAACGAATATTCGGTTAATTTAAATTATTTTTTTCTCTTTATTTCTCTTCTTTTCTTAATTTTTGTCCATCTTTCCTTCTTTTTTTAATTTCATTCATGAGTTCTTTTTTTTTTCTCGGTATCTCTTTAAATTCAACTTCTCTTTATTCTGTCATTCACTCTCCTTCTTGCTTTGTTTTTGTTTGTCCTCCGCATTCCGTGTTTCGAACTATTCGCCTGTTATCATAGGCATTTTCCCTTCAATTTTTATACTAATTGCTCACCTAATACAAGACTCGGCGTAGAGCGGAACTCAATGAAGTTGTTGGATCAACGTAGAATGAAGAGGAAGTAAGAAATGCAGTTCGTGTGCATATGTAGGAAAGATAACGGTTAACCCTAGACTTGAAGAGGTTAAGGGCCACTCAAGTTAGAGGGTTACTGAATGAGGTTATTTTATGGACGTAAGAGGAAGAGGTAAGACGTGCAGTTTATGAGGACATGTATAAAAGATAAGGGTTAAATGCTAGACTTGAAACAGTTAAGAGCCTCTCAAGGTAGAGGGTTACCGAATGAGGTTGTTTTATGCACATAAGAGGCGGCAAGACGTGTATTTTATGGGGTTATGTAAAAAAGATAACCGTTAGCCCTAGACTTGAAAAAGTTAAGAGCCTCTCAAGGCACAGGTTTACTGAATGAGGTTGTATTATGAATGTAAGAGGACGGGGTAAGGCGTGTAGTTTATGAGGATATGTAAGAAAGATTACACTTAACACTAGATTTGAAGAGGTTAAGAGCCACACAAGGTAGAGGGTTACTGAATGAGGTTGTTTATGGACGTAAGGAGAGATAAGACGTGCAGTTTATGAGGATATGTAAGAAAGATAACGGCTCAACGCTAGACTTGAAGTGGTTAAGTGCCCTTCAAGGTAGAGGTGTACCGAATGAGGTTGTTTTATGGATGTAAGAGGAGGAGATAAGTTGTGCATTTTATAAGGATATGTAAGAAAAATAACTGTTAAACCCTAGTCCTGGAGAGGTTAAGAGCCACTCAATGTAGAGAGTTTCTGAATGAGATTGTTTTATGGTCGTAAGAGGAAGAGGTAAGACGTGCAGTTTATGAGGGTATGTAAGAAAGACAACGGTTAAATCCTAGACTTTAAAAAGGTTAAAAGCCACTCAATATAGATGTTTTCTGAATGAGATTGTTTTATGGATCGAAGTGGAGGGTGTAAGACGTACATTTTATGGGGACATGTAAGAAAGGTAATGATTAAATCCTAGACTTCAAGAGATTAATATTCACTCATAATAGAGGGTTACTGAATTAGTTTTTTTGTATGAGCGTAAAAGGAAAAGGAGGCAAGAAGTGAAATTTATGAGAATATATCATAAGGATTATGTTAATCCTAGACTTGAGGAAGTTGGAATGCAGTGATCGGGGACGCATCGCTTTATTCCGCAACTTGAGTTTTGAAAACGTCAGTCACCATAAAGTGTTAATTCTTATGTCCATTCTATAACGGTTATTGGCGGGGACATTTGCATCAGTGTGCAGAATTCGAATTCCAGCTTAGTCTGTTCCGTTTACTATTGTCCAAATTCTCTTGGAATGGTATGAATCCATTTTTCTCCTCCCCACTATGGATTAAATAGGGGAGTCTAGAGAAATCTACAGAGGTTTGCTCAACCCACAAAAACCATCTCTGGTTTATATTGCAACCACACTGAACAGACCTTAGTTACAGTTCATTGGAGAGAGCGCATAACCCGGCAATTTCTTCAACAACTTCAGTACGCCAAACCCTCGGTCACGATGACTTGTGACTTCATGCTCCCGAACGGTTCCGTCTACCCAGTTTCACTCACAGAACTTGGGTGAGTCAACCAGTGGTGTTGTTTTCAGGCACTTTCTAACGGTGCCGTGAATTTGGATCAACCTCTCCCCACCCCCATCGGTTGATAACATCAAGATGTTATCTCAACGAATAAATCACCCATGGTGAGATCCGAACCCGGTTCTCGTGGTCAGAAAGCGAACGTTCTAGCCATTCTATCACTCTTTGTAGAGTCATGATGAAGGAACATGGTATTTAAAGGAATCTTGATTGATTGGTTGTCGTGTATTTGTTATCTGGTCGCACCAAATAACAAAGAACTCGGTTATTTGATCCGTGAATCAAGTTCACTATGGGTCACCCACAAACAACTTGCGTCTACACAGACAGTCCGGTTAACAATAGGACTCGACCTCTGCTGTCAGACTGCATTCACACAAAATAATTCATAAAGTCCAATACTCTTCAATTAATCCCCTGTATTCCTGAAATTCATAGACCTGGCACTTCGCCAAATAAAAAAGTGGTTGGAGGTGACGTCACAGTGATAGTGAGAGTATTCACATTTTTCTTCTTCTGTAAAGGTTATATAAGTTTGTTCTTTTTTTGGATGGTAGATTTTTTTCCATTTTTTCTACATTTTTTAAGTATTTAGTTTGTATTGTTGCTCTCTCTCTCTCTCTCTCTCTCTCTCTCTCTCTCTCTATCTATCTATCTATCTATCTATCTATCTCATTCCGTTCATTATCTATCTATCTATCTATCTATCTATCTATCTATCTATCTCATTCTGTTCATTACCTATCTATCTATCTATCTATCTATCTATCTATCTATCTATCTGTTTTTATGTTATTTGTGCTCTATCTTTCAATATTTTCAATTTTCCAACAAAAATGTTTTCAACTTTACTCAAGTATAGCAGAAAACTGCTTTTTCATGTTTCCGCCAAAACTCCCTGAATTAAAAGAGAAAAAAAAAAGTTACATTTTTTTCTCACTGACTAGTAACAAAATTCAGGTTTGGGGTTAAATTTTAAAATCTGTCAAACCGTCTATTTTAAGCTTGTTTTTTGTTCTTTTTAAATCATTCAATTATTTTTTAATCTTTCAACAATTTTAATCATAACGAAACTAACGAGTGAGATTGCATTTAAATTTTGGAAAATCACATTTAACTAAAAATCAAGCCGAAAAAGCGTTCACGAACGAGAAATTGCGAGAAAAGAAGCTGTTAACATAGACTTAATGGTTAGAATGTAGCCATTTTAACTGTAAAACGATGTGAACTTTCCGCCAATTTAGTATTGTGCTTAAATTCATAAAGTCTAGGTATCATGGAAGAAAGTAGAATTTACCCCATCTCCCCACTGAGACATGATATGACACAAGGTGAGGTTTATTGTGGGAAACCCGAATGCGAAAACCCAGCCCCAGAGGCCGCAACTGTCATTCGCTGGCTTATATATATATATATATATATATATATATATATATATATATATATATATATATATATATATATATATATATATATATCGCAGTGAGTCAGGTACAGCCGCGGGCAGCTGTTCCACGGGACCAGGTACCTCTCTATTTTCCTTTCCCATGTCCCTCTCTATCCGGGGGGTAGAGATATAACTGAGTCGAACTCTACCGATGACAGAGACGCAACTGAGAGAGGATAACCCTAAAACGACAGTGTACAAGCAAATGTATTCTGAAGTTTCTTAGAGGAAACTTTATCAGAATAATTGCTATGAACATATTGAAAGAAAAGGGTCAGATTGCCAATGTCTATTGGGTCTAAAGATTTCATTAGATCGCAGTTGAGATAATTTACATAGAAACAATTGCTAAAGATGATCGAAAAAAGGTTGGGATATTCTGTCGATCCAGGAAATACTTTACTACACTAACGCTATTTCCATGGCAGATGTTCACATGACCTCTATTCTTTAGTTCTGCCAGTTCGGTCCTATACAGCTCGGACATTTACACAGTCCTGTGAGGGAAAGCTTATTCTCCACTCTGCAGCTTCTTTCCCACAGATTCAACATTGCAAGCCCATCACTATTCTATGGCTATTTCCATGGCAAATGTTCAGATGAGCTCCATTCTTTAGTTCCACTAGTTCAGACCTTTACACCTCGGACATTTACACAGTCCTGTGAGGGAAGGCTTATTCTCCACTCTGCAGCTTCTTTCCCACAGGCTTAACATTGCAAGCCCATCATTACTCTATGGCTATCTCCATGGCAAATGTTCAGATGAGCTCCATTCTTTAGTTCCACTAGTTCAGAGCTTTAGAGCTCGGACATTTACACAGTCCTGCGAGGGAAGGCTTATTCTCCACTCTGCAGCTTCTTTATCACAGATTCAACATTGCAAGCCCATCACTACTCTATGGCTATTTCCATGGCAAATGTTCAGATGAGCTCCATTCTTTAGTTCCACTAGTTCAGACCTTTAGAGCTCGGACATTTACACAGTCCTGTGAGGGAAGGCTTATTCTCCACTCTGCAGCTTCTTTATCACAGATTCAACATTGCAAGCCCATCACTACTCTATCGCTATTTCCATGGCAAATGTTCAGATGAGCTCCATTCTTTAGTTCCACTAGTTCAGACCTTTACAGCTCGGACATTTACACAGTCCTGCGAGGGAAGGCTTATTCTCCACTCTGCAGCTTCTTTATCACAGATTCAACATTGCAAGCCCATCACTACTCTATGGCTATTTCCATGGCAAATGTTCAGATGAGCTCCATTCTTTAGTTCCGCTAGTTCAGACCTTTACACCTCGGACATTTACACAGTCCTGTGAGGGAAGGCTTATTCTCCACTCTGCAGCTTCTTTCCCACAGGCTTAACATTGCAAGCCCATCATTACTCTATGGCTATTTCCATGGCAAATGTTCAGATGAGCTCCATTCTTAGTTCCAGACCTTTACAGCTCGGACATTTACACAGTCCTGTGAGGGAAGGCTTATTCTCCACTCTGCAGTTCTTTCCCACAGATTCAACATTGCAAGCCCATCACTTTTTCTATCGCTATTTCCATGGCAAATGTTCAAATGAGCTCCATTCTTCATTCCACCAGTTCAGACCTTTACAGCTCGGACATTTACACAGTCCTGTGGGAAGGCTATTCTCCACTCTGCAGCTTCTTTCCCCACAGGCTGGCATTGCATGCCAATCACTATATCGCCATCTCCATGACAAATGCACAGATGAGCTCCATTCTTTAGTTCCACTAGTTCAGACCTTTACAGCTCGGACATTTACACAGTCCGCGAGGGAAGGCTTATTCTCCACTCTGCAGCTTCTTTATCACAGATTCAACATTGCAAGCTCATCACTGCTCTATCGCTATTTCCAAAGCAAATGTCCAGATGAGCTCCATTCTTCCGTTCCACCAGTTCCGACCTTTAGAGCTCGGACATTTACACAGTCCTGTGAGGGAAGGCTTATTCTCCACTCTGCAGCTTCTTTTCCCACAGGATTAACCAAGCCAAGCTCTATCACTATCTATGGCGTTTCCATGACAAATGTACAGATGAGCTCCATTCTTTAGTTCCACTAGTTCAGACCTTTTGTGAGCTCAGACATTTTATCACAGTCCCATGAGGGAAGGCTTATTCTCCACTCTGCAGCTTCTTTATCACAGATTCAACATTGCAAGCTCATCACTACTCTATGGCTATTTCCATGGCAAATGTTCAGATGAGCTCCATTCTTTAGTTCCACTAGTTCAGACCTTTGTGACATTTACACAGTCCTGCGAGGAAGGCTTATTCTCACTCTGCAGCTTCTTTATCACAGATTCAACATTGCAAGCCCATCACTACTCTATGGCCATGGCAAATGTTCAGATGAGCTCCATTCTTTAGTTCCGCTAGTTCAGACCTTTACACCTCGGACATTTACACAGTCCTGAGGGAGGGGCTTATTCTCCACTCTGCAGCTTCTTTCCCACAGGCTTAACATTGCAAGCCCATCATTACTCTATGGCTATTTCCATGGCAAATGTTCAGATGAGCTCCATTCTTTAGTTCCACTAGTTCAGACCTTTACAGCTCGGACATTTACACAGTCCTGTGAGGGAAGGCTTATTCTCCACTCTGCAGTTTCTTTCCCACAGATTCAACATTGCAAGCCCATCACTACTCTATCGCTATTTCCATGGCAATGTTCAAATGAGATTCATTCCACAGTTCAGACCTTTAGAGCTCGGACCACAGTCCTGTGAGGGAAGGCTTATTCTCCACTCTGCAGCTTCTTTTCAACATTGGCTTAACATTGCAAGCTAATCACAGATGAGCTCCATCCTTTATCTCCATGACAAATGTTCAGATGAGCTCCATTCTTTAGTTCCACTTTAGTTCAGACCTTTACAGCTCGGACAGTTTTACACAGTCCATGAGGGAAGGCTTATTCTCACTCTGCAGCTTCTTTCCATGGCAAGAGATTCATTCCACCAGTTGCAAGCTCATCACACAGTCCTCTATGGCAGCTTCTTTTTCCATGGCAAATGTTCAGATGAGCTCATTCTTTAGTTCCACTAGTTCAGACCTTTAGAGCTCGGACATTTACACAGTCCTATGAGGGAAGGCTTATTCTCACTCTGCAGCTTCTTTATCACAGATTCAACATTGCAAGCTCATCACTACTCTATGGCTATTTCCATGGCAAATGTTCAGATGAGCTCCATTCTTTAGTTCCACTAGTTCAGACCTTTAGAGCTCGGACATTTACACAGTCCTGCGAGGGAAGGCTTATTCTCCACTCTGCAGCTTCTTTATCACAGATTCAACATTGCAAGCTCATCACTACTCTATGGCTATTTCCATGGCAAATGTTCAGATGAGCTCCATTCTTTAGTTCCACTAGTTCAGACCTTTAGAGCTCGGACATTTACACAGTCCTGTGAGGGAAGGCTTATTCTCCACTCTGCAGCTTCTTTATCACAGATTCAACATTGCAAGCTCATCACTACTCTATGGCTATTTCATGGCAAATGGCAGAAATGACATTTAGAGCCTGACATTTACACAGTCTAGATAGAGCTCCATTTCTTTAGTCCACTTTATTTCCACTAGTTCAGACCTTTAGAGCTATTTCGGACATTCTTAGTTACACAGTCCATTTGTCCCTGAGGGAAGGCTTATTCTCCACTCTGCAGCTTCTTTCCCACAGATTCAACATTGTCCAAGCCCATCACTACTCTATGGCTATTTCCATGGCAAATGTTCAGATGAGCTCCATTCTTTAGTTCCACTAGTTCAGACCTTTCATTCCACAGCTCGGACATTTACACAGTCCTGTGAGGGAAGGCTTATTCTCCACTCTGCAGCTTCTTTTTCCCACAGATTTAACATTGCAAGCCAATCACTACTCTATCGCTATTTCCATGACAAATGTTCAGATGAGCTCCATTCTTTAGTTCCACTAGTTCAGACCTCACAGCTCGGACATTTTACACAGTCCTGTGAGGGGCTTATTCTCCACTCTGCAGCTTCTTTATCACAGGCTTAACATTGCAAGCCAATCACTACCTATCGCTATTTCCATGGCAAATGTTCAGATGAGCTCCATTCTTTAGTTCCACTAGTTCAGACCTTTTACAGCTCGGACATTTACACAGTCCTGTGAGGGAAGGCTTATTCTCCACTCTGCAGCTTCTTTTCCCACAGATTCAACATTGCAAGCCCATCACTACTCTATCGCTATTTCCATGGCAAATGTTCAGATGAGCTCCATTCTTTAGTTCCACCAGTTCAGACCTTTTACAGCTCGGACATTTACACAGTCCTACGAGGGAAGGCTTATTCTCCCTCTGCAGCTTCTTATCCCACAGGATTCAACATTGCAAGCTCATCACTACTCTATGGCTATTTCCATGGCAAATGTTCAGATGAGCTCCATTCTTTAGTTCACTAGTTCAGACCTTTACAGCTCGGA